TGGGCAGACAAAGTGAAAACAATGGACTCTAGACTTATCCATAATCTGGGAAAAGATGCAGCTGCTTTAAAGAGTTCCGAAGAAGTGCTAGATTAGTATTTTTGTGCATTAGGAAGTGTCTTTGGTTTAGAATTGCTCAAAGTAGATGGGTCACCTGGATATGATGGGAATTGTGAGCAACAAGTCCAGTGTTTCTCAACTTTGCCCATTTGAAGATGCTGGCTGGGGAATTCTGGGAGTTGAAGTCCACCTGTCTTCAAGTAGCCAAAGTTGAGAAATACTGAAGTATAAGCAGTGGTGGGATTCAGCCAGTTCACATCTATTTGGGAGAACCGGTTGTTAACTTTCTAAGCAGTTCGGAGAACCGTTTGTTGGAAGAAATCTCCTTTCAGTTTTTCCCACTTTACAAGGCTCATCCTGTAAGGAAGGCAGGAAGGAAACATTCTGGTGTTATTTCTAGCCTAATCTTTATTGCCTTGCTTACAGAAACTGCCTCTCCGGTTAACCCTTATTACATTGTAACAGCTAAGGCGAAGTGCCTATAACATGAGTGACATTGAGTTGGCCATGCCAAGGGTGGGTTCCTGCCAGTTCTAACCCCTTCTATAGAAGAGGTTCCACAAATCTACAGTGCCATTTAAATCCGGTTCCAGTTCCCTTCCCCCGCCAGTCTGTACATCATCAAGATAAAGAGTGAGAGGAGGAATTCTGGGAGTTGAAGTCCACAAGTCTTAAAGCTGTCAAATTTGAACACCCCTGGGGGTTTTTTTTTCTAAAAGTTTAGGGGTGCAAGGGTCTTGTAACTCGACAGCTTTAAGACTTGCGTGCTTCAAATGCCAGAGTTTCTGAGCCAACATTTTGGTTGCTAAGCAAGAGCGTTGTTAAGTGAGTTTCACCACAATTTACAAGTTGGCCACACCACCCAGTCACATGACTGCCAAGCCACTCCCACCCAGTCTATGGCCAGCAAGCCACTCCCACAAAGCAGGCCACCCCTACAGAAGAGGTTCTAAAAAAATTTGAAACCCACCACTGGGCCATGCCCACCCAGTCACAAGACCACCGAGCCACACCTACCAGCTGGTCATTAGGGCAGAGAACCAGTTGTTAAATTATTTGGATCCTACCACTGGCTTAAAGCCATGTCCTGCTGCACTGCCTCAGCCTTGGCCACCCCATCCCTTCCACCAAATTAGTAGGTTTTTTTTTACCTCCAGAATCCCCCCTTTGGGATGAGCTCTAGCCCCACTTCCTTAAGGGCTTGGACCTTCCGGAGGAAGCTCTTCTTTTCATTGGTGAGGTCACTGTCCCACCAGTCAGAAAGGTGGGTGAGATCTTCCCTCATCCATTCGTTGGAGAACTCTATTGCCTTCTGAATGGCTGGCACCAGCTTCACCAGGATAGTTTCATTCCCTTCCTTGAAAACCAATTGGATGGCTGGACCACTTATATCCAAGGTCTTTAATTGGATGTTCTCTAGAAATGTATCGGAGGAAAGCAGATCCATGGTATTATTTCCCAAAGCAATGCACAGCCCTGAATCGTAAATACAGGAAGTCTTCAACTTACGACCAAAGTTGGGATCAGAATGTCCATTTCTAAGTGAGGCAGTTAAGTGAGACTTGCCCAATTTTATAATCGTTTTGGGTTTTTTGCCAAGGCAGTTAAGTAGTCATTAAATTAATCCAACTTTCCCCATTGACTTTGCTTGTTGGGAAGATTGCAAAGGGAGATCACTGACCCCCGGATGCTGCAACCCTAGTCATAAATTCATGCCAGTTGTCAAATCACCTGAATTTTTATCACACCACGCGGATGGTGCAATGGTCATAAATGTTTAAAGCTGGTCATAAGTCACCCTTGTTCAGTGCCATTGTAATGTCAAACAGTCACTAAACAAATTGTAAGTTGAGGTCTATTTGTACTGCATTGCATAGTGAGGAAAATAAAACTAGTAAAAACTAGTTTAGCAACTCTAAAAGCTTAACTAAATAGGAAGCGCACACGTGCACACACACACACGTGCACACACACACACACACACACACACACACACACACACACACACACACACAC